TTTTCATTTGTCACTAATATCTGCATAATTTTTCGTCTCTTTAAATCTTTTAAGGGACCAGACAAGCCCAAAGTTTAAGGTATTTTTTTGCGATTCTGTGGTGGAACTTGATGACACATCATCTTTGTGTCTACATATTTGTGTCGTACTAAGTGCCTTAATTTTGCTCATGGTCCATCTGGCTCCACGTGCGTGCCCATTGTCAGGCAGCAGACGCTCGGTCTCACTGCCAGAGCTGCTTCTCTCTCATAACAAAATTATTGCTGCAGCTTCTCTTCCTGTTGCTGCTACTGTGAATATTAACAGATTACCCATTCGCTGACCTTTCATAGGCTGAGCTTTTAATGTTTCCACAGCAGACATCTGTAAATAATATCTCATGGTATGAGTGGATCTCTTTTCTGTCATATCACTCTGCTTTTCATTTCTGACGTGTGATAACTGCTCACATTTTGTGTTAACAGGGGAGAATGAATGTGTCTGTAATTTCCATGAATAAGGCTTATAGCTGGAGGAGCACAATGAGTTTTAATTAATGACCGTAAGTGGACTTAGTCTGCATGGCTCAAGGGCACCACCTCGTTTAGTGAACTGCAGTTTTGGAGGTTTTATTTTTAACAGTAAAAGCCCTTCCTCTTACCGGAAACTGTGCCAGCAGCCCTGGCGGTGTGGAGAGCTCAGCCATCTGCCACTCTGAGAGTGTGACAGAAAGAGAGAGAGTGTGTGTGTCTTTGTGAGATACCAGAGCTGAATCTTGCGTGGGTGTGTGTGAGCCTGTGATTGGGCAAACAGTCTGTGGTAGAATACTGTTTAGAGCACAGTCTGTGTTTATGCTTTTTTTTTTTTCCTCTTTTTGTGGAGATCTTAACTGATTTAGTGTAGAGTGCTGACAACTGTCATTCATGATCAAAGTGTTCTTATCCCAATGCATTGTATAATGCAGCTTTGTCAGATGCCTCTCCCCAAGCTGTCCTATGGTACCCTGATATTCCAGCTGCTACTAAAGCAGCTGTTGAACAGGCTCTACACATGGAGGCTTGGGGTGGTGGTGGTACAACTTCCTGGGATAATGACTAAGAAATCCAGGTTTGCATCCCTTTGAGAGCTTTCATATCTGGTTTATTTATTAACTTGCTAGTTTAGGTTTGGCAAAAACCTAAACTTTGGTCATGCAACACAGAGCACCTGTATAAAAAAGGCCAAAGCCGACTGTACTTCCTCAGGAGGCTGAGGTCTTTTAACATCTGCAGGAAGCTCCTGAGGATGTTTTACCAGTCGGTGGTTGCTGGAGTCCTTTTCTATGCTGTGGTGTGCTGGGGGAGCAGCACAGCAAAGAAGGACTCATCCAGGCTGGAGAAACTGATCAGGAAGGCTAGCTCTGTGGTCGGCATGAAGCTGGACACTCTGGTGACAGTGGCAGAGAAAAGGACATTAAAGAAACTGATGGACATTATGAACAATGCTGGGCATCCTCTGCACACGGCCATAAACAATCAGAAGAGTCTGTTCAGTGACAGGTTGCTTCTCCCCAAGACAAGAACTAACAGACTTAAAAACTCCTTTGTCCCACACGCCATCAAACTGTTTAACTCCTCTCTGGAGGGGAGAGGGAGGGGAGACAGGAGGACAAAGGAGGGGGGAACAACTAAGCTGTAGTGCCTCTTCACCTCACTGTACAATACCTTGTGCAATACTTTTTGTAAATAGTCAACAGTGCAATAGACTCAATACTTGAAATGTGCAATTCACTTGTATTTTTATTTTTTATTCCTATTTATTCTATTTATCCCTTTGTATATTTTATTTATATTTGTCTCTGTATTTATATGTGTGTGTGTGTGTGTGTGTGTGTGTATGTATGTGTGTGTGTGTGTATATATATATATATATATATATATATATATATATATATATATATATATATATATATATATCTGTAACTGTAACTTCGGTCGGTGCTGTGCTTTTTGGAAGTCGAATTTCCCAGAGGAACCCACCCGAGGGATTAATAAAGTTCTATCTTATCTTATCTTATCTTATCTTAAAAAATGTGTTACGTTTAGATGCTAAAAACGTTTTATGACTTGTGCTATTGAATAACACAAGTAAAAATTGTAGTGAAACCCTACCACTGCCAGTCTTGGAGCCCTGTTGTTCACTGTTGAGGCTCAAACCACATCAATGTTTGAAGGCCCGCAGTGATGTGAAATTATACCCCTCAAGTGACTTAAACCAAAAGCGAGCCCGTTTTAAAAATGTAAAAAAGTAAAAAGTTGTTAGAAGGAAATACTCAACTAAAGGTACCTGAAACTCCTACTTAAGTACAGTAATTAAGTATTTGTACAGTAGTAGTAGTTACTTCCCAACATTGCCAGAAATACAAATCTAACAGGGCCAGTCGCTTAGGTTTTACACTTTTAATGGAATGAAAAGGTACAGTGGACTATTGCTTGTAAAGTGCTTTTCTTCTTAATTTGTGGACACAAAGTGCATTCGTACTATAAGCCTCATTCACTCATACGTTATTTTATATGCCTGAGCACTTTGTAACCTAAAATTCCCACTCCAATGGAAACTATTTTGCATCAAGATTCTTCAGTATGCAGGTTGGATGAGCCAGGGATTGGACCACCGACCTTGCGATCAGTGGCTGTGGCTCTCTGACAAAAATGTAAAGCAAAGAAAGCTGGGTGTCATCATGAGACATTAGCCCTTCTATCTGCTTTATGAAAAGGCGATGCAGATGCACCATCCTTCTGTGTAATCCTCTAACTTCTGTCTCAGTGGTAGTGTTTCTGAGTGTGTGTTTGTGAATGTTTTTAGAGGATTTTCATTTCCTCATGCAAACTCCATACAAAAAGAAAGGACTCGGGACCTTCTTGCTGTGAGGCAACAGTGCTGTCCACCGCACCACTGAGCTGTCACAAAGCACAATAAATAGCAATAGCATACACGTGGTGTGTGTATGCTTTTCTGCTTCTTATAGCCCCCAGTGATTTTCCTGGGGTTTGAAATCTCGCGTGATCTTGTCCAGGCAACTAACCACTCTTGCTTGATTAGGTGACGTCATCTCAACAAAAATAAATTTAACAAGCGTGAAGTTGTTGAATTTCATGCAGCTCATACACACCTTATTATGTTCACCATAGAAACTCTTGTAAATGTAATAACTACCCAATTTCACTTTTTTTTTGAGTGTATGAGTTGGAGTCTGAGGCCAGCTTGTTCCTGAGAATCACTTAAACAGTTTTTGTCTCTCTTGACAGTTGATTGTTGCTGACGTCAGTCACATCAGTGTGAACTTTTTTGCAGAGTAGAAATGATACAGGATTGAGTGTGAAAAGATAACACGGTTTCCTGTGCGCTGAGCGAGCGGAACCTTCTTTCAGTTACAACATCCTGTGGGCTGATGTTTAGTTGAACTGCTTTTCGTCCAGGTACATTCAGTCATTGTGCTGTAACATTGTGATTTATCTAGCCTATTGCATCACAACAAACACCCAGTTGTGGATTTGCCTGCTAAAGCAGAAGCAGTGCTATAATCCAAACTAGTCACACTTGATGCGACCATCATTTTATATACAAAACCCTCTTTAGTTTCACAACAGTTCCCTAATAAGGTTTCTGGTTGCCATCTGTTTACTCAGACTCTTTTCACAGCCTGTTCTGACAGATTATTTATCACTGCTGCAGAATGCACACAACCAACAGGACAGGCCCTCAGTGATTTAGTAGAGTGTCCCCTCTTTGTGAGTCATTCTTATGCTAATCAGTGCTGGTCTGTATTTTTTATACAGTGTTGCCTGAATTCACTGCAGTAAGATAAGAGGACTTTTTCCAAGAACATCCATCCATCCATCTACTTTCATAACTGCTTATCCAGCATATTATATATGGTACAGCAGTTGTGTCTGTTTACATAGGTGTTTCCCTGCACAGAGTCTAAAGACAGGGATTTTCAAAATCCATGCACTGGTGCTTACATGCAGTCTTCCAAAAAAAAAAAAACAGCATATAGCTGTCATGAATGAGATTATACATAGGTTAAACACTGCTTGGTTGAAAAATGGTCCGGGACAGGCATAAAACAAACCCACCAAAGATCGAAACATACAGTGCAAGAAGCACAGATGGATGCTGAACGGGACACTTTTCAAAAAATTGTTTTATGGTTATATTTCTTCTCTATTAATGGATATTTGTGCAGAATGCAGAATCTAAAGGACAGGGACGAGATTTATTTGTACTGGAAGCTTTATGGTCTCTGTTTGTAGGCACGTTTGACTGGGCTTTGGCTCCCTGCAGGTGAGCAGTCCATATGGATCGCAGAAGAGGAAAACGATTGCCAAAATCCTGTCTTGTATAAACACTGGCTGCTTTCTGATGACAGTTTAGATTTCTGTCAACTAAAAAGTCATGGAGATAATTTTACTTTATCCATTTTAGTAGATTAAATAAATAAAAAGAAGTATATGCATTTATTTATTTTCCCTAGTTGGGATTTTAAAACACAAAGAGAGGGGAAAAAAGTCAGTACACAAAAAGCCCCAAAGAAATACAATGAAATGAGTCAAGGCCGAGGTTCAGCACTTTCACAGACAGCGACTGCTGCAAGACTCGCTGACATTCACCTTGTGTGGTTAATGGAAGCTACGTATAGATAACAAACCTCAAAACAGAAAATTTTAATTCAGAACCACATAGACAAACGTTAATTTGTTTGAATAATGGTTCAAACTAGCTAATTTAATTTTTGGATTGTGCAAGTTAGTGTCATATCTTTGGCAAGCTTTTTAGTGTTGATCACCATCTATCCACAAGCACTAGACAACAAAGCCATGCAACTTAAAGAATCCTGAATTAAATTTAATGGGAGATTTCAGTAGCAAAGCAAAGCAATGGTGGGGTTCTTTGTTTTGTTTTTTTACACTTTGTGATTGATCATAAACTATTTGTTTAAGACAGAAGATTGACTCTTCTTTTCTGTCCTCTCTCTGCAGCCATCAAGGTCAACTGTCATGGCTCCTGTGGGGTCTCCAACACAGCAAACAGCACAGCATATAATGTGGAGGAACAGTACTTAAACAGCACGCTGTCTGTTGCCGAGAAAGGTAAATCAATATTTTCACACTCTGATAGGTTATCACACTTCTAGAGAGGTTAAAAACCATTGGCATACACTTGCTCTTTTTTCTAGGCAGCTGTTGCTCATTATTTGTATGTGCACTCTATGAAAAAACTTAAGGATATGCTGCTTAGATCTGCACAACAGTAAGACCAAACCTGTATCTTGAAAGCAGTGGACATACTGCAGGTGTGGCTCACTGGTTCAGCAGGTTCCCATGTACCTTATTGTTGAAATGCAGTGACCCAGGTTTGAGGCTGACCTTCAGCCCTTTGCTGTGTGTCCTCCCCTGCTCATTCTACCCTTTTCTGTCTGCTTTTCAATGCAAAACTGTCAAATAAAGGCAAAAAAGCCCCAAAATAAATCATAATTTAAAAAAACAATATACTCCAAGTCAAAAAAAAAAAAAAAACACTGATATGATCATTAGAGTATGTGAACTTTGCATCTTTCTTTGCTGATGACAGATTTATCTCCCAACCTATATCCCAACAAATATCAGAACCTCCTTGTCATGGCACAACTGTAAGACGACTGGCTTTTTACCCCATTCAGTTTAATGAAAATCTGCTGGAATAGAGCTAATGTTACAGTGGCCTTCAGAGGTTTTTGCTTTCCTCTAACAGGGGAAAAGAATTTGACCGATCGACTAGTTTAAGAGTGGGAAAACAGTCAAAACTGCACCCAGTCCAGTGGTTGAGCTTGTAGATTGTATAAATATTGCTCACATATTTAAAGCCATTTTAAACAGTTGATCACATTGTTTAGAAATCATCTTTTTCCCCTGTAGGCTGACATGCATGCACCTGTGCACAACGTGATTACACATTTTTATGTTCAAGCGATTATATGTTCATTTAGTGTGACACAACCAACATAACTTGGGTCATTTTTAGTAGATCAAAGTCATTCTCTGTCATTTTCCTTTTATTGTTCATCTTCACATCAGAGAGCGAGAATGAGACACTGTCGTCTGTAATCTCAGCATCAGATCCTTGGGTAGCAAGAATGTATGTTTGTGTGAAAGTGTAAGCTAGTCCTGCTCAGCAAAAAATTATAGGTGTCAAAAGTGCTTTCTACTGAGAATACAATCAAAATTGTCTTTGAGATCATTCCAGACAACGTAAAAGTTATTTTCTGCAGATATGCATACAGATGGCTTTGAAATTTTTGCCTTGTCTTTGGTGTGCCTCGGGCACAACCCTAGTTTTTGCAGCCTAATGAAGAGTTACTCAGAGTAACAGTCCCCTGAAGCCTGTCTCCTCTCTGAGGTGAGACATAGCCAATCAGAGTCAAGAAGCACTGATGAGACGGTTGGAGAGCCCCCACAGAGAGCAGGTTAGATTATTTTTCTCCCCTGAGTGTCTCTGTACCAACATGCTGTGCTGCACTGTGCTGTTCCTCCTGCCTACGGAAATAAGAGCTTACAAGACCTTCTTTTGCGAGTACGATCTTCCATCTTTTGTATGTGTTGCAGCCCATAAACAGAAGGTGAAATGTGCCACGCATGCATGAAATCTGTTGTAAATGCAAATCACACTGTGGGACACAATGGCAGGCATTAGAGCATGTAGTCCATGCTGGTTAAAACAGCAAACAGTTCAATGTTTAACTCTCAGGGCTGCGTTCTTCAGCGCATGATAGAAACTTCAGCCACACAATGCTGGAGAGTAGATTTAGTCAAGTACTTTACTTAAATATAGTATTCAGGTGCTTGCTATGCTACTTCATACTTTTTCAACATTTCAGATTGAAGAGTTGTATTTTCAGTATTTCTTGGATTGTTTTTTTTTTATTTTATTTCACTATATAGGTAAAAAAAAAAAAAAAAGGCAAAGATCAGAGGAACATGGCCAGACTTGCTAGACCATTGTTGTGTTGTGTTTGTGTCGCATACAAGTGATGTCACAGGACTTTCGGACTGCCTTGCTGTAACGACCCCGTTCATATTGAGGTGGCACTCAATTGTAATGGAAGACTAACTAACAGAGTTGAGTCAAGCCGCTAGGTGCTAGTGGAAAAGAGGCATTAGAACCAAATGAACCGAGTTTGAAACTGAGTGCTGCTGGCCATGTCCATCGCTTTATACCATACCATACCACCTTTATTTATAAAGCACTTTAACATAAAACCAGAGTTCACAAAGTGCTGTACATGCTAAAAGCATAAGTAAAGAAAATTAAAATGAGATAAGATAAAATAAATAACTAAAAAACTAAAATAAATTGAAACATGTCAAAACAAATTGAGTCAAGAGAGAAGAGGCCTGCCTAACATGCAAGGGTAGATCATTCCACAACTTTGGAGCAACTACAGCAAAAGCACGATCACCTTTAGATTTATACTTAGTTTTTGGTACCTTAAGGAGCTGCTGATTGGCGGACCTAAGGGAACGGGGAGGTGTATATGGTTGTAGTAGCTCCGAGAGGTGGGGGGGGGGGCAGGCCATTAAGAGATTTAAAAGCAAATAAGAGAATTTTAAAAACAATCCTAAAATGTACAGGTAGCCAGTGGAGTGAAATTAAAATTGGGGTAATGTGCTCAAACTTTTTTGTTCCAGTTAAAAGACGTGCTGCAGCATTTTGCACAACCTGCAGGCGCCTAATGGACGCATCACTAACCCCAAAATAAAGTGCGTTACAATAATCCAGCCTAGAAGTAACAAAGGCATGGATTACTGTCTCAAAATGCTGTTTCGATAAGATAGGCTTTATTTTGGCTAATTCCCTCAAATGAAAAAAGCTAGATCTTACAACAGCTCTGACCTGGCTTTCAAGTTTAAGATTTGCCTCTATTTTAACTCCCAGATTAGTGATGACTGGTTTAACATACTGTGCCAGTGAACCAAGATCTATAATAGTGGCCTCAGAAGCGCCACCAAAATGGCGCAGACTGTACCCTTCCTTTAATGAATGCTATCGTCACAATAAATACACCATGTCACAAGTTTCACATCATGATTAAGTGCTTTTTTTCTGTTTTTATTTTGTTGACTACAGTCAAATGGCCTCCACAGTCACCAGATCTCAATCCAATCCAGCACCTTTGGGATCTGGTGGAATGGGTCATTTGCTTTATTGTGCAGCCAACAAGTGTGCAGTCTGTTATCATGTGAAAGTCTAATAAAATCTGTGAGGAATGGGTCCAGCATCGTGTCTATACCATGAAGGATTAAAGCTGCTCTTAGGGCAAAAGGCAGTCTACCTATTAGCAAGGTGTACATAATAAAGTGGCTAAATGGTAAATAGCCTGTATTTGTATAGCGCTTTACTTAGTCCCTAAGGACCCCAAAGCGCTTTACACTACATTCAGTCATCCACCCATTCACACACTGGTGATGGCAAGCTACATAGTAGCCACAGCTGCTCTGGGGCGCACTGACAGAGGCGAGGCTGCCGGACACTGGCGCCACCGGGCCCTCTGACCACCACCAGTAGGCAACGGGTGAAGTGTCTTGCCCAAGGACACAACGACCGAGACTGTCGGCGCCGGGGCTCGAACCTGCAACCTTCCGATTACAAGACGAACTGTCAACTCCTGAGCCACGATCGCCCCCACTTCTAATTAAAGTGACAAGATATACGTTTTATTAACTTTATAGACACAAATAATGAGAGGCAGAAAGTTTGATTATCTTCAAGCAGACCGAAGTTTCCTCTTTCCTCCATCCTCCGAATGCCTTTGGCAAAAGTCATTACCAAAAATAAAACAGGAAACAAGAAAAAGAGAAGACGAGGAAACCAACACAAACAAAACTAAAGTAGACAAATACACAGAACATTAAAAACAAGAGAAAATAATAATAATTAAAAAAAAAAAGAAACAGACTGTGGCCATTTTTTGTTTTCGCCTGTGTGAGAAAAATCACACGTACTGTTCGTCAGCTGTCAGGCAGGGCGTTTCTGGGAGGTGAAAATTAAGTCGAACAGGAATCTTGAAATGTTTGTGCAGACACAAACATGAGCACACCCACTTCACCCATTAACATAGCAGCTTTGATGTTGTAAGAAAGAAAAATATATACATACAGCACTGTGAGAAAGTGTTTTCTGCCTTCCTGATTTCTCTTTTTAACATTAGTCAGACTTTAAATTTTCAAATCATGAAACAAATTCGTTTATTAATAACAAACATAATCTGAGTCAATACAAAATGCAGTTTTTAAATTTTGATTTATTTTTAAAAGGAAAAGGTTATCTAAACACGCATATCCTAAGTGAAAAAGTCATAAGAGAAAAAGTAATTGCCCCATAAACCTAATAATTGGCTGTGCCGCCCTTGGGAAAAGGAACTGTAATCAAGCATCTATGATAAATGGCAACAAATGTTTCACTTTGAATTGTTTTAATTCAGTTTTAATTCAGCCACATTGGAGAGTTTTTGTAAGAGCTGCATGGACGGCCTGTTTGCGGTCATGCCAAAGCACCTCGATGAGATTTAGGCTCAGACTTTGAGTCGGCCACTCCAAAATCTTCATTGTGGATTTGTTTTTCTTTTTGGTGCCATTCAGAGGTGCACTTGCTGATGTGTTTTGGATCATTGTCCTGCTGCATAACACAGGTGGTGTTGACCTTCAACTGATAGTTGGACGTTCTAGTTGGACGTGCATTTTGCTATTTATCGTACAGTTTATTTTAATCTTTGCGTACAGCGCTTTGTGACTACCTGTCTATGAAAAGCGCTTAATAAATAAACTTTACTTACTTACTTACTTCAGGATTTTCTGGTAGAGACCAGAGTTCATGAAGTAGACCCAGACCACTACGAAAACTTTCTCAAAGGCTTTGGGGTCATCAAGATGATTTTGGTAAATGTGGGATGAGGTTTAGAGGTACAGCTGAAGAGGAACAGCTGTAATGAGTCTGTATTATTGTTTAACTTGATTAAAAAAAAAAGAATATCTAATTTTATTGCCTTGAACCTCTGAATTTATTATTATTGTATAAACAAGATTTGTCTCTGAGTTCTTTGCATTTCATGCAGTGGTGCTTATGAGTACATGAGGAAAGTCAATACGGTTTGAAGTGTATTATTAGAAAGCGTTTTCACTATAACTACGCACCGACCAAATAAATTCCTTTCAAATTATTAAATATTTTCTAACAGAAGGTTCTTGTTCTTTGAAGTGAAGACTCAGGCCTTCTGGCAAATATGTGATAGTAAAAGTTATTTTGCCATGTCGCCCAAATTCCTGGAGTTTAGCGTTTCACATTTTATTTAATTTATCCAGTGTGTGACCCTGGGCTATCTGTACCAGCGTGGTCCTCCAGTTAAAGAAATTGCTGTGAGATGAAGACCATCAGTTCTCACACTGGCACAGTCAGATATTACTCTGACTCCTTAACAGAGAGCTGCGAGGTTAAAAATGTTTTAATGTAGTGGTCTTGCATGCAAACATTCTTCCGTAGATCATTATTACTTCTTCTATTTACAGCTTTTAGTTGTATAAATTTTTTTTCTGCTATATTTAAGAGTTTTATTAAATGAAATGAAATTGTTTATTTACTTATTGTTGAAACTGACACCAAAACCCAGGTGCTGATTCAGTGCTAATCCCAATAACTGGGACATGAATCTGTGAGTTTTCGTTTAATGAAGGGCAGGTTTGAGGTTTTTTTGTTTAGTTTTTTTATCTTCCTCTTAATAACAGAAAGAGACGTTGAAAGCAGGAAGTTCTTTGAAGCAATAGTTAAACTTAAAGCCTTACTGTGAAACGTAAGGCACCAGAAGGAGAAGGTCATAAATAATTCATGACACACCCTCTCTCGGAGTTCCTCTTTATCTCTGCCGTTTTCCCATATCTCGCTCTCTTCCATAAAGGGTCTGGTTCGCCCCCAAGGGTCGAGCAACGGAGGGAGAGTGAGAGAGGAAGGGTGACAGAAGATCATCTCTCTCTCACAAACACACACACACACACACAAACACACACACACACACACACACACACACACACACACTAACAAAGCAAGCGACCCTCGCTGTGGCTGGTTGATAATGTGGTATGCCACAGATGCTTGGCGGTTAGGGGAGTGAAGACCGCTTACATCAGCAGCTCTTCATGGACACTGACTTTAAAAAGTGAGAGCTTCATATTTAGAACACGTTTAGGACAAAGCCACGTGGAAGTTTTTTAATAGTATTATTTACTAATACTGGCATTTCTGCAAAGACAATATTTCTTCTTCATTAGGTTTATAAATGTGTTACTAAAAAGGCACTGTTTGTGCCAAAAACCCTTCTAGTGTTGTTTTAAACTTTAAAAAACTTTGATTTCTACAGTGAGTAATCCAAGGTAGTAGCAGCAACAGTAGTTCTGTATTTTCAAAAGAGACTGCTTATCCCACTGTCAGTTTATGTCTTTGGTCTGTGCTGCCATTTATGCATCAAGGCTGTTTTGGTGTTTGTGTTGTAGACACATTTGCATTCTTTGTAAAAGCATAAAGTAAAAGGATTTTTGATGTTAAAATGCCAAAAAATACATTCGGAAAAAAATGGTCTAGAAATTATTGACCGGGTTACTCAAAGAAAATCCACAAACCTTTATGTAGGAAGTTTAATACCAGAACTGTTTTCTTTCTGCTGTCTACACCTGCTAACTAAAACATGAGTGCATCTTAGCAATGTCTCTTTTTAGTTATCATGACTTGGTTGCCTAGTTTTAGTGTTACCCAAAACAAAAAACCTGGAAGCTTCATACTGAGATCATCTAGATGGATAATTAAAGCTAAAAAATATATATATTTCCTTATAAAGTATCCTTGTAAGGTCATCTGAAAAATATCAAAATATTTGTGAGCCTCTGGGCTGTGTCGGGGAGAATTGGTGGCTCTTAGGTGACACTAAAAGCAAAATATTATCTTTTTTTTTCTTTTATTGTGTCCTTGACTACACAGACTGTGTGAACCACATGAAATAGTCACAGTTCAGGTCTGTGTAGTCATCCTAGTATCTCGCACAACATGGGGCTTGATCAAAATATCGATGAACAAATATATTTATTTTCATTTATCCAACCTTTATTTAACCAAAAAGAGCAAATAATGAAGTTGATTAAAACAAAAACTGGTATTGAACAAAAATACAGTAAACTAGAATAAACACAGGGTTCAGGATTATCACTGATCTGGGGCCAGTAAAAACCTATATTGAGGCAAGTTGATTGGCCCATTTGGAGCCTCACTTTATAATCTCTTTATGATAATAGGTCCTGCTAGGTTTTAATAGCAGAATGAATGTTTGTTATTATTATTATAAGGTTAAATAATGATAATCATTGATGTTGTTCCTCATTTGTGACTTTTAAAGAGTCTTTTATTCTTTCACTCGTGTGGTCCTGGCCCAGTTTGCATGCAGTGTGTGCACTGCAGTGTTAAGACTGACTGTTTCTATTAGCAGTAAACAGGACTGAGTGATAAGCACACACACGCATACACACACACACAGTCTGAACACTTTCCCTCAGGAAACGTAGACTGAAGGGGAAAATGTTGTGCCCGTCCCTAATGAGGTGGGACATGTTGCTATCTGTAGTAATTTAATTGGGCTGCCAGCTCATCTACAGAATTAATAAGCTGGTTGACTCAAGGTGCTCTCAGTGTGATGGGGACATAAAGGCGATTTTTGTTTCCTTATGATCTAGTTATTAGTTTTAACTGAGCTTGTAAAGTAAACGGTGCATGTGATGATGGCCCATGTGAAAAATAAGTTTGAACTCAATCAGAATTTCTTTCTAGCTGATTTCTTTTATAGAATTTCTTTCTAGCTACAGGCAACAGTTGTGCGATTTGTTAAATTATGGGTAACTTGTCTTCAGGCTAATAAGATGAGATGCACTTTGACATGTTTATTTTACTACACTTTGGTTTTTAGGTTATTCAAAATTGTCAAACTCTGATTTTTTTTTTTTTGTGCAAAAGACAAAAAAAACCTAGAGGCGTCTCTCTTCTGTGTGTTCTCTTCTGTAAAATTTATTATAGTGACGCCGATCAGGCACAATGTTTTCACCACTGACAGGTAAAGTTAATAGCACTGATTATCTCTTCATTATGTCGCTGGTTAGTGGGTAGGATATATAATGGAGCAAAGGAGATATTCTGTCCTAAAAGCAGGAAAAATGGAAAATTTTAAGGATTTTAGCGAGTTTGACAAAAGGCCAAATTGGAGACGACTGGGTCAGAGCATCCCCTCAACTGCAGCTTTTGTGGGGTGTTCCTGCGGTGCACTGGTCAGTATCTATCAAAACTGGTTCAAGGAAGCAGCAGTGGTGAACCAGCAACAGGCTGATGGGCGGCCCAGGCTCAGTGATGCACAGACGAGCTATTGTAGCTCAAATTTGGCTCTGATGACAGGTGTCAGAATACACAGTGCATACAGGCCTGAACTGGCGACTGAAGAAGACTTGGATGAACAGCTTTCTGAGACCTGAGATCAACTTTCCCTCAACTTTCAGGCAACTGTTTGAACAGCTACCAGTGAGACCACAAGATACTGCTGATTGACACAGTGCCTGGTGGTAAATACATTGGAGCGTTGCCTAGACAACTAGACAGAGCGAAGCAACAATTTTCAACTTTATGTGGATTTATGTGTCGTTCTGATTTCTGCTGTAGAAAATCATGCAAATTGATTTAAATCTCATGCCTCATTTGCTTATTTAAACATGAAAAACGTGAGAAAAGTAGAGATGGGAAAAATAATTAATATTGTCTGCCTTTTAATATAAGTCTTTCTTTGCGTGGGATTCTGATTATACCAGTAACTAACAGATGAGACTGGATATTCTCTTTCTTTTCCATACTGTCAACAAACCCCATGTCAAGGCCAAAATCAACAAAGAAGTAATCATCCTAATGAGCTTTCCTGTGCAGGCCAGGAGCTTTTATCTGCATTTCCTTTGCGCCACGGAGCTCCATTGTTGTCCAAAAACAAATAAAAAAAGACATCAGTGAATCCCGCTGTTCCACAGTCGATTACATTTTCCTTCATTACAGTAAACATGCGCTGTAGTTCATCTTCAGCCACTCTCACTTGCGCCATCTGGCTGTAAGCACCAGTTTACCAAATGTGTACCTCTCCCAGCAGGTTTCAGGTGAGAGTTGAACTTCACTGAGGGGGAAAAAAAAGTTTATGGTCTTGGACTAGGCTTAAACCATTTCTGGAAAACTGACCCTTTATATGATTGAGTTTGAATAACATTTATTTATTGTATTTATTTAAACCAGAGATAAAAGTTCGTGAGGATAAAGCTCAGGGCTGTGGCTTTTGTTTTAGGAATTTGCTAGCTATAAAAAAAACAAACACGGAGCATTCTTATCTTAGCTTCAATCCAAACGGTCATACTTGTCACACTGATGCTGGCCTGCAGATGTGATGGGATGGAAGGAAAAGGCTTGGCTTTGATTGCTGCCGCCTCGCCAAGCCTTTAAATGATTGCTGAGAGAACCTCGAACCTTGCCACTTGTGTCACCCAGCAGTTTATCACTTCTTATTATTAACCATTAATAGTCTAATCACTAGAAAAGATAATTGTAATCGTCTCAGCTAAAGCCTGTTTTGTCTCAGAAACCTCATCCTGCTGGGAAAGCAGGTGAGCCCAGCCAGCACGCCGTGTCCTTAAATTAAAAGTTAATGAAAGAATATGGACATAAATTATGAGATTTTACAGCACATTCACTTTAATTTGCAGTTTTTTCTGTCTACTAATTTTACTATAATGATTTTAGCATATGTATATTTATTAATATGTGCCTCTCTCCTCCTTAATGGATCTATTAAAATCTGTGTTTTGAGAAAAGCGTCATTATAAATGTAAACCTTTTTTTTTTTTTACAGGTGTCCTTCGAGTGGGCGAACACAGTTTCCCGTTCCAGTTTGTTATTCCAGGTGAGTGAAACGTCATTCTTCTGTGTGCCCAGCACCGCCTCACTTCCCGTAACAAGTTTTCTTAGATTTGTTTTATCACCCATCTAGGTCAGTTCAGCGAAGGGTGCATGCTGATGCAGGTGTGATAACCCCTGTCGACAAAGCAGTTAAGGTCCAGTTTGTGTGTAGGCGAACGGAAAAACATTACGTAATCAGTGTTTAAAGATTTAGGAGTGGTACGCCATTTCCTGATACTTTTATTGCTACTAAAAGTTGTTTTTTTTTTTTTTGCTCATGATAGATAACAAAATTGCAGTGTGTAAATAACCCTAAAGATCAGCTGAACATTCTTGGCACCTGTAAGGCCACACATTGTGCAATCTGTCTGGTATCTTACACCCTCTCTGAGGCACAGGCTGACACACAAAGGGGGGTAGCCGGGGGTTATTTTTAGTTCCCTCTCCTTTTGTGCAGTCACTGTTTAATTGGGCTTCATGCCTCCGTGCTTTGTCCTCCCCTCCTTTCAGCCCACCAGTCTTGAGAACATCAGTGAAGGGCATGTTAAATATCAGGCAGAGAGGTGGCTAACTGAAGGATAAAGAGGCTCCTGCTGCCCCCTGCTGGTACCTCAGAGAGGCTAACAAACCCTAAAATGAACAGTGTGATCCTTAAGAGTTTTTATGGTAAAAAAGAGTCTACCTGAATTGTAACATGTGGTTTAAAAATTGAGCATTTATCATAATATCTTAGCAAGTTTTCTTTGTTATTCTTTTCAAAGTTTCTCTAATAGTCACAAAAGACATCATAATAAAAATGAATCTTCCGCGAAAACAGTGTCACCAATAATCAAAATACATACATGACAGTTGGTGAGGAGGCTTATTTTTGCAAATTTTTGGCACTACACACTCTTAAGGGCAAATGGAGTCTCCAGCTTATACAAAATGCTCTGTTTCACACAGTTTTTCTTCTACTCTTGGCTCTGAAAATCATAAAAGAGATGGGATCTTAAAGCTATTCAAACCTGTTTTAGAGGGACATGCAATTAGAAGAAAGTTGGCTTAAAAGGCTGAAAAGCTCAAATGACTTGTTTAACCCTCTCGAGGCAGGCGTTGCCGATTTGCAACAGTTAAAAACCAACAACCTGATTACCCAACATACATATTTTATGAGTTTTTTTTACTCAGAAGTACCACTGCAGGACTTGGTTGTGCATTAGCAACAAAAAGTTTAATTTGAGCCTGAGAGGGTTAAATCAGCTAAGGAGCTGAACGAAGGCTCAGTGTAGGTTAAATAAGGATTATTTTGAACTGTGAGTAACACAGAGTTATAATGGGTCCACTTTAAGGTCAAAAGATGAACGGACATTGCATAAGGAGGGCTTTGACATCGCCAAGTTATTTCTAGGCTCTTATGTTTCCAGTCTATGGATTTTGTCTGCACTCCAAGGAGCAAGACAGGCTCTACAACCCTTAGCCACTTTCAGTAACCACGAGCAGCCCACTCCCCAGGGAAATTCGGCCTGATGTCAGCCAGTGATGGCTCCATTTTAGTTGCCAAGCTGTCTGCAACCAAACAACAACAATCTGCCTCTCCTGCTTAATTCTTATTGACAGCAGCAGCAGCAGCAGCAGCAGATAGTCCCTGGAGCAGCTGGCATTAACATCTGAATGAGGATCAAGGAACACATTAGAACAGAGACTGCGCCAGGGGGCTCTGCCATTATTTTGACACCACATTAAACTCTTTTGCTGTGCGTTCTGCTTGGAAATTTATACACAGATTACTCCATGAACAGGTTTTGAACCTGTTGTTTGGGTGTTTTTTCCTCTTCACTGGATCTGAACATCTCTCCCCTTCTGTCTATCTCACTGCTGTCTCCCCAGAATTGTTATTTTTCCTCTTCTTGAATTTCCTACGCTCCTATGTTTACCCTCACAGTTTCCACTTCTTCACTGTCCTTTTCCTGAGACACATGGCCTGTCCTTTTTTCACTAAGGACACCTGCAGGAATCCATCTGAAAGCTTAGTTTAATGACATCTCCAAGGGAATGCATACAGATTTCAGCTCAGTCTCTGCCTAGGGGAAAATATCTACAAAAAATAAAGTGTAGCCACATTAATATGACATTTTCTAGAATTTCTACATTTAATTTTCCTTTTTGTCCTTCTTTTAAATTTTTTTTTTAACTTAAATTTACAATTAAATGTATTGAACTTAAACTTCTTTTTTTCCTTTTTTTCAATTTAAAAGAAAGTTTTTGCTAATCCTTAATAGAAAATGCTAAAAAGAAAAAAAATTATCGAGTCGTTCGTTGAATCCCTCGCACAAATTAGTCATCGAAATATATACATTTGTATGACTTTTTAAAAAATATTTCTTGTACTTTCTATTACTGTTCTAGTACTTTTGCTTTATTGCAATAGTTCTGACTAACAGCATTGTTTTCAGTCTAATTTACTTCTTTGTTTTTCCTAACCAGAGGCAGCCATTTCCTTTGATTTGTGTCAGTCACCCAAAGGTGAAATGCTGACTCCTTAAGTACACTTTGTAAACCAGAAACAAACAAGTTTGTGGAAATGCAAAAGCAAAATGTAGAAAATACAGAAATAGATGTAGAAATAATTTCATACATTTAATGTGATGTTATTTATTGGCTGTTTCTGCCCGCCATAGTTTACAGGCCGCAATATAACAACTCATTGGTTGTATGAGAACTTGAAAATGTTAGACTTTTAATCACATAGTTTACATAGTTTTTAATCACATAGTTTCCAAATATTTATTTATAAGTGACTTATGTATGTATGTATGTATATATATGTATATATTGTACTATTCTTAGTTAGCGTATTGTCTGTCTTGTCTTAATGTTGGTTTAAAATGGAGCACTGTAACAAAAAATAATTTCCCCCAGGGATCAATAAAGTATTCTGATTCTGATTCTGATACCTGTGATCCACTTAGTCGTCACCTATGGAGACAGTTTTTGCTTTTTGGGGGGGAAATTCTGTCTTACTGAGCTTGTTAGCTTTCTTGTACGGTGAAGGTATGACCCTCTGAATTTGATGTAAGTTACAGCTTTATTGAGAAATTGATGTGGGTTGGATTGAAATTCCCAATGTCACTCATGTTTGTGTTTTCTTTCCCCACAATCTCCTGCTTAGCTGCTGTCCCAACTTCCTTTGAGGGACCCTTTGGGAAAATAGTTTACCGAGTGAAGGTGACTATTGACACGCCACGCTTCTCCAAGGACTACAAAATCCAGAAGCCCTTCTACCTACTCAACATGCTTAACCTCAATGAGGTTCCAGACATTGCTGTAAGTGCTTGATTCACATTTGTTTTCCTTCACTTTGATCTCACCTTTATTCTCTTTGATTCTTGCCCAGTGCATTTAGGACTGGATTGAAAAGAATGCTGTAATGCATTTCTTTATTTAATAAACTTTTATCTTTGTCGAAGCTTATTTGATTTCGTTGCAGAGCAGGAAAGGGTTCTCTCCCTCCTACTCATAATCAAGTCTCTTCTCCTGATGACTGTCAGTTTCCTATTTATCCTGCAATAAAGAGTCTGCACAGCTTCTGCTAGCCAAACTTTTTATACTGCCAACGTACAGACAGACAGACGTTTATTCAACAACTCTGCCTCTTCAGTATCACAGTTCTGCTGTGGCCACCAAGAAGTTCAACTACCTCCTGGTGAAGTCGGGGACTGTGATGCTGAAAGTTTGCAGTGACATGAAGGGTTACATCCCCGGTCAGGTCATCAAGTTATTCACCGAGATCCACAACAAATCTGGCAAGGACACGGGGTGTGTACTGGCCAGTCTCGTACAGGTATGTTATTAAATGTAGACAGTTATATCAGTATTTCTTAACTCATCCTTGGTTCGTGTAAATCATCTTTAAGAAGGACTGAGAACTCTTAGACCTTCTATAATAATAGAATAAACCAGAATTTCCACTCAAGTAACAAATATTTTCATGTGGACACACATAAAATTCGTTTTACCTCAGATAAAAACAGTTATCTTGATCATTTCTAGAACAGTAAGTTATCCTGCGAGCTTTCACATTAGTGGTGTGTGAAGCGGTTTGAATTTGCCATTACATCTTTTCATGCTTCTAATTGTTTGACTTTGTCACACCAGAGAGTGGCCTACAAGACTAACAAGCCTGTGGTAGACCTACGGACCATTGCAGAGGTGGAGGGAGCGAAAGTGAAGGCAGGAAAACATGCAGAGTGGAAGGAACAGATCATCGTTCCTCCACTCCCTCAGTCACAACTGACAGGCTGCAACCTTATAGACATCATCTATTTCATTCAGGTGTGTGTGTATGTGTGTGTGTGTGTGTGTGTGTATGTGTGTGTGTTATACCAGGTTGATAGCAGTTTTGCAGGTTTAACATATGTTAGTTGAAGCTTTTCAGCTCCAGCTTTTCATTTTTCTACTTCCTTTATGCCGTCCTAATTGTTTCTGAATCAGACCACAGAGTGTTGATGGCAGCCATCTGGTGGGCTGTGAAGGTACTACAAGTTAACTGTAAAAAGTCATTTAAAATAAATAATAATAAATAAATTTGACCCTAAATATTTAAATATCAAATAAAGATTCTAACTTTTCATTTTCTGAGCTATTTTTGGATCTAAGTTTGGATCTAAGTATTAGGAAATAACTAAAGTGGAGCTGCAGGTCTTATAGAGCAGTGAAGCTTTTAATGGACAGTTGACCTTAAGAAGTAAATTATCGTAGGATCCAAATGAATCAAAAAAAATTCATGTGATTGTCCAAGGTGAAAGTATGAGTAGGTCACAATAGATTTTTGAAGTGGGAAGAAGTTCAGAAATTCCTCTATGATGATATTGTGATATTTTGCAAATGACCATTGCAGCTAATAGCAGATCATCTGATATTTTTTTTCTTCCCCACTCATCATTTCAGATATTTTTTTACCATTTTCAGTGCTACACTGAAGTATGATTGCAAGTTTGGCAAAACGGTTCGATTTGCCAGGGGAAGCAATTTGCAAAACTTTCCAGGTTGCAGTTTCTTGGTGTTCTTGAGTGCTGCTGCTTTAAGAGGAACTTATTAAAGTAATCTGCTCGTGTCATTTCTAAGCTGTTAAAATGGTGGCTGCATGTATTAAACGTGCTTTTAATTCTTGGTGTCAGACACTTTTCTACACAAACAAAGGGTCTTTGCTAAGGGTACCCAAAAGGTAACTTTTAAAGAATAGATTCTACAGACACAGGATCAACTTGGGTGGGGGGAATATAAAAAATAAATTAGCTGTGAGTAATGCACAGTTAACAGGGACTGATCCCGCTGCTCCCTTCACGGATCTCTGTTTGTGTTACAGGTGTCACTAAGATATCCTGAAGCAGCTGTCACTCTGCCTATCTATATCGGAAACATCGCTTTAAACCAGTCTCCGACGAGGTCTACACCCACCAGTCCAGCGGGTGCAGCAGGGGTGATGCCCAGCGCTCCGCCAGCAGAGGAGGATCGAGGCGATGATATATGTGCAGGAGGCTTTACCAGTGAGGAACTTCCCACAAAGAGTCACTCACAGCAGGATCCCTCAGGCCAGGCAGTCACAATGTCTCCCAGCGCCTTCAGCTACGCACCAGGTGCGGCAGCGCCGCCTAGCCACAATCCCCCCGATGCATCTGCTCCGCTCTTCTGTTTGTCCACAGGAGCCACCATACCTTTCTTCACTGAGGGAAATGTTGCTCCAACCCCCACTTCCTGTTCACTCATTCTCCCTCCAGAGTACAGCACTACTGACTACCCTCATGGTTAGTACTTAATAAACCTACCACACCCAGACAATCACCTGCAAGGTGTAATGGCTAATTAGGCATTTATGAGTTGCATCATCATCATGCTTCAAGTTTTAAAAATATTGGCCGATATTGGGTTGTTGTTTTTTAAATCACCAAATATCTGTACATACCAGTCTTATAAAGTCCTGTATCGGCCAGGCTCCATTCACAGCAGTCCACATAATTTGTCAGATAATAACAATAAAAATACTCCAGATTAGGAAGAAACTGTTGTAATGCTGTATAGTTGGGTATTTAAAATGTGCAGCCAGCCTTAATGTGGACATTAAAGGGCCTGCAGTTTCTTGCACTTCCACATTTTCAGCTCCAGAGTTCGACTTCACTACTACTCATGGAAGCCATGATAGCGCCCCCCCCACTCCCCAAAATGACTAAGCAATGTGTTTTGCATTTTCTGGCCTATAATCTCTAGTAGATTAAATCACAGTAAAATTCCGAGATAACCTTAAACTCTTATCTAGTCCCGTTTACTTTTCTTTGCCTCTGTGTGTTCCAGAGCCCCCACCTAGTTATGAGGAAAGCTGCAGTAGTGCCAACTCCAGTTTCAACAGTAGACAGTAGAGAAGCAGGTGGATGAAGAATTGTGACCACTCCCACCTACACCTGTTTGCACTCGCCTCGAAACGAATCCAGAGACAAGGTGGATGAAAAGAGGATGGATGCTTCAAACTCCCCAAGGATTGATTCTTTGTCCTGCATTGAGTTTTGTTTTCTTTGTTTTTTTAAAAAGGGGATAATTTCTTATAATGAATATAAGAATTTAAATTTTTCCTCATGTCCCAGCAGATAATGTCAGGTGAACATCACTGTGCCTAAAGAAAAAAAAGAAAAAAGTATTTCAGATTGTTATACAGCATTTAGAATAATCAGTCGTTCGACACGTCTGTTGTGTTTTTATTTCCAACATGTTGTTGCATCTGTGATGCCTTGAAACTAAAAGCTTTCAGTCTGGCCTTTTTGTGGTGGGGCGGGGGGGTCCGGGGGTCCAAACATGCGCTTGTTAGTGTGGTCCGCTGCTCTTTGTACATGTCTCTGCTGTCCTCGTCGTCGTGCAGGCAGAGCTGCCTCCATCATGGATATAAAAAGAGGAATACACAGTCACAGGTGATGCCTGTGATAACAGCTTCTTTTCACATCAAAATCTGTTTTTAAATGCACAGAATGGTTATAAAGATAAGTAGGTCCTTAGGGAAACCACTCGGCTGAGTAACTGATTAAAATAATTCAAGGAGCAAATTCAGTTCATTCAGTAGTTTTCCTCTGGTCTGTTGTGCTGTTTGTTTGTTTTTTATCTAAATCATCTTGATGTGAGTTGCCCGATTTCAAATATCCTTATTATGGAGCTACATGGAATGTTTAAAATAATACGTTTCAAAAGGTCATCAGCAATCATGAGCCAGTTTCTCAAACAAAGTCCTAAACCTTTTATTCTACTGTCTATTGCCATCATTCTTCTGTCAACGTTTGCCAACCATATCCCTCTGCAGAAGTAAGCATCCAACGACAAATGACGAGAGGCTCACAATGTAATCATTAAAAGCCTCCACAACAGCTAAGCTGCTTCTTTTCTTTTGCAGATGTAGATAATAGAAAATAAAATTGTTCCTAAACGAAACTGCTCATGACAAAATCGGGGTATTTGTTTTGTGTCACCAGGTCATGATGTGGCTATTCCTTATCTTTCAGGCTGTTATGGGCTGTGGTTTGCACTGTTGGCAGTAATTCCGATGCGTTCTCGATGGGTTTTGGCTGCCCTTCTTCACAGATTCTGTTCATAACTTTTATTAATTTATAAATCCATCCAAGTGGTGGAGGGTTTCTTGTTTGGTGACCTCAGGATCACCTCTCTGCTGTTGGTAGATGATGTGTCTTGAGGCAGTGAGGCACTTTGCAGGACTGAGGGCATGGTTCTCAGCCGGAAAAGGGTGGAGTGTGCACTCTGGGTCAGGGACAGGTGTAAGTGTCCCGGGTCTTGAACCGACAAGTGAGGGAATAGAGGAGCGGGGGATTGACAGAGGGATGGGTGTGGTACGGGCCGTACCAGTATGCTTTGAAGAAGAGAGATCTGAGCATAAAAGTTAAGCTGTCGATTTACCAGTTAATCTACATTCTCACCCTTGCCTGTGGTCATGAGCTGTGGGTAGTAAGCCAAAGAATGAGATAACAGATATTTGAAAGGTGTCTGCGCTCTCCCATAGCAGTAGGATGTGGAGCTCACATCACAAAGAGCCAGTTGAGGTAGTTCTGGAATTTATTTATTTATTTATTTATTTTTTTAACACAATGTCCTACTGGGAAGAGGCCCCCATGGCGAACCTGAACACGCTGGGGAGATTACATTGCTCAGCTGGTTGGAAATGCAATGAAGAACCCAATGAGAGGCTGGGTGCCTCTGGGTAGACCTCTCCCTCTGTAACCTGAACCCAGATAAGCGGCAGAAAATGGATGGATGGATATTTTCCTTCTTTCATGTTTTTTTTCTTCTTCTTTTTGTGTGTGTCTTTTAGCTCCAAAGGTGTCGTGCCATTCAGTTCCATTAAATCCAAGAGTAAGCAGACGGCTGCAGAGCTGATATGTCGGAAACTGGGAATCTCACACCGAATCAATAGTGATGGATAAACAGCACTACAGACCAGAGGAAAATTAAATACAAATTAGATTTTAAGAGGAAAAGGCCTTTTAATCAAAAACGCTTCCACAAAGCAGTGCAGTCAAACTTTGTTATTATTTATTATATTTTTTATTTCATTACGTCTCCCTTTCATTGGCTCCTTAAGATATTTTTCTTGCCGTACCACTTTTGTATTCAGAGGAAGTTTGTCTCGTGAGCCTCATTTTCCCTGTAGCTGGTTATGAGGTCTGCAGTACCGAAAGCCGTACTCTGCCCCCTTGTGGGTGATACTGGTACAGGCTTTATCTCTTTTGAGCCTGCTCTTAAAACTGGAGACTAAAACGACCATCCATGTTAACTGACCCACCTAACTTAGTCCTTGTTTCTGTGATTCACCAGCTGAAGTCCGCTCTAGAAATGTATTTCTTTCCTTTCTGTTGAGCAGAACTTATAAACGGAGGTTGAAGATGCATGTGGTTTGCATCAGGATGATTTATGTTATTTTTCCCCTTTGTTGCCTTAAATTTCTTCTGGTGATTTGAGTGTGTCAGTCAGTGCAGATGTTAACACATCTGGGCATCTCAGCACTTCATTTAGTGTGTGTGTGTGTGTGTGTGTGTGTGTGTGTGTGTGTGTGTGTGTGTGAGTGTGAGAGAGAGAGAGAGAAAGAGAAAGAGAAAGAGAGAGAGAGAGAGAAAGAGAAAGAGAGAGAGAGAGAGAGAGAGAAAGAGAGAAAGTAAAATGCAGTTTAACTTCAATCAAACTTGAGTTCAAGCCAATTTCTGATCGAACATCTGTAAAAGTGGAGATATTTTCCTTTTTTGTCCATTTCTGCTTGTGGTCAGCAGTGGGGTTTAACTATTGTATTTTGTATTGATTTTATGTTGTTGTACCATAATATGATCTTAGCATTGCACAAATGTCTGCTATTTTCTGTTGTATGTATAGATATTTGTTCACCAAACCTTTTGTTTTGCACGTATAAAAACTCTTTTCTCATTTTATTCATAACAGCAAAATAGACTTCAGTGCTACAGTTCCACGTAGTTGCATACATTTGTCATGTTTTGTCATATATTGATGACAAAAAATTTAATCCACATCCTCCAGGCATAGTAATGCCTAATGTCCCTGAAAATCTGAAGCACAACATCTGCACTGAATGTTTGTGTGACTCTTCGTGTGTTTTCGTCTTATCTTGCCACTCCGCTTCAAATCACAGCATGAGTTTCTGATAACAGAAATCTTGTGGCTCTGCATTATTGTGAAAGCATGCCTTAAACAATCTGGATACCCTTCAACATTTACATGAGCCTGCGGTGGACTACCTTCTTCTTCTCTATGAGGACATCAGGACATGCTCCTCCTGCTTTGTGTCTGGCGGGACTGTGCAAAGTGCACTTGATGTACACAGATGTAGCTTTCAAAAACAGTAAGACACTGGACTTTGTAGACCTGCTGAACTTTGTTTTAAACTCTTTGTTTTAGGAGAAAAAAACTTGTGCAATTCCTTTTCTGAAGCCATTTCATGCTGCCTTTACCAGCCTTCATTCTGTTCAAATCCTCTTCACCAAAAGGTACTATAGCTTTATGAAACCCCTCGTTATGTTATCTTTTCATCCCTCCCCCCTCCCCTCATATATTGATGAGTGGTGTCCAGTTTTGTATTTTTCTACTATATGAGCTGTTTACAGGTGCAGTGTGGATATAGTTGCACCTCAACCATTACATGTACAGTTTCAGCTTACAGTGCAGAATCAAAGCTGTACTGCATAGAACGACAAAGTAAGGGGGTAAGGGGAAGCAAGGCACTACATCCACCCACATTTCTGTGAAAAAACAAAGTTTTCTGCTGTATAAAAAAATGTATAAAAAATAGACTGTTTACTATTACACCTGAACATTTTGCCAGACTTAATGTTATGGAAGGGGTTTCAAAACATAAGGTGTGGGGCCAGAAACGGCCGGCAAAGACTGCAATCTGGTCAACTGAATAATTTTGAAAAATGTGAACAAGGGCATAAATATCTCCATTTTAATAGTGTTTTCACATGATTTAACAGCTTTGGCTACTAATAAAGACCTCCCCTACTGCCATCCATACTAAAGTAAATAAATAATAGATAAACATTGAAATGACAGAAACGTCCACCACAGGTGGTCCCTGCAAGAGACAACTGTTCCAGACAAACATGTATACATCAACAGTACGGGGTCATGCTGAGGAAAAGAACTGCAGATGTGATGCACTCTCTTGGTGGATTCTAGAGGAAGGCTATGACGGGTGCCAAGAGAGGAAGTGTGGGACTGCATGAGGAAGTCAGGAATGGTAGAGAAGTGTATGAGAGTGATGGTCTAGAGCAGGGGTGGGCAACTACAGGCCTCGAGTGCCGATGTTCTGCAGGTTTTAGATGTGTCCTTGATACAACTCCAAGAATCGTGTGAGCTGCTTCCGTCTGTCACATGACCACAGCGTTCTACAGTCATTGGTTCTGCATAATACATATTCATTAAACGCTTTAAAAGCTTCGATTTCTGCTCAGTTAGCGGTCTTATTTCACTCGTTTTTAAACTCAAATATTTGGGGGTTGTAGCCGCCCTCTTTAATCTGAAGGGTAACGGTTGTTTATCCGGGACTCTCTATTTCGGCTGCGCAGTCGCACTCAGGATGTTTGCCTTCGCCCTACATGTTGAAAAACTACATTAACCGTCAACCGTGGTTTGTTAGGCGAAGTCACGTGGTACCACAGGCTACATACATAGCGTCTTTGGGCTGAGTAGGTGGGACACTGGCTGTTTCTGTTGAGGCATATTTGAGAAATGCACGCCGATTATGTGGAAATGGCTCGTGCTTGAATGTCCGGACCGAGACTCATCTGTGATGGAAGCTGCGCTCAATAACCGCTGAAAGTGTGGTGTCAACGTTAGCGCAGCAAGCTCGTCAGGATGCGAGTGAGTTCTCTTTGTGTGTGTTTGTTTTGTCACTCAGCGGTCTAGCATACGCCATATGTGCTACTTTAATAAGCTGTTTTGCATTTGAGACGTTTCTTTGCTGGTTAATGTGTGGCACTGACTCACTTAGTGTGAGGAAAACACGTCATGCACACTTCAGGGAACCCAGGGAGTCGGTGTAAGCAGTACTTACTGGTTTCTGACACACTGCATCTAATAAAGCCATTAAAAAAATATGAACTAATCTGCTGTGAAACTACTACTACAAACTACTACCGTCTGACCTGGCGTGAGTCTGGGAGATAACTCATCTTTTAAAAACTAAGATGTGTTAACTTTACTTTGAATCATGTTTATAGTTAAGCTAATGAGAAGGGACGCTTACTGAGACCCCTTTTTTAAAAGTCTACTACAAAAACACTAAAACAACAGCGTCAGTGTTATGTAACCATATGATTAACTTTATACCTTGCTGTCAGTGTCATCCAAAGCTGGACATTATGTCACCTGTGCTGTTTTCTTTTTAAAGTGTCGATTTCTGAGAATAAATAAATTCGGGTCAGATCAGTTTAGGTATGCAAGTTGCAGATGTGAATTCATATGTAGGTGCTGCTGCTTTATGCACTTGGAATTTAAAATAAGCTCAATCATTGCTTTAGGGTCTTTAGTGCATTTATGCCA